TGTATGAGGATAGGTAAAACACCTAAAAAACTAGATAGCATTTGTTGCCCTCAACTCAGAGAAGCTAAAGCACATACTTCAAAGTAACAGAGGCCAATAGGAGGAGGGGACCAGGAACTAGAGAAAAGGTTAGATCAAAGAGAATTAACCTAGAAGGTAACACACACGCACAGGAGAGCAATGTGAGTCAACTCCCTGTATAGCTATCCTTATCTCAACTAGCAAAAACCCTTGTTCCTTCCTATTATTGCTTATACTCTCTCTTCAACAAAATTAGAGATAAGGGCAAAATAGTTTCTGCTGGGTATTGAGGGGATGGGGGGAGAGGGAAGGGGTAAGAGGGGGTAAGGGAGGGAGTGGGAGGGGAGGGGGGAGAAATGATCCAAACATTGTATGCACATATGAATAAAATAAAAATTAAAAAAAAAGAAATGTTAATCCTAAAATTCATATGGGATTTTAAAGAATTTTGAATAACTATAACAACCATGAAAAGAACAAAATTGGATGTTTCACATTTCTTGATTTCAAAACTTACTGTAAAGCTATAGAATCAAAACTGTTATACTGGAATAAAGATTGACACATAGATCAATGGAATAAAATAGAAAACCCAGAAAAACAAAGACCTTATACATATGGTCAAATGATTTCCAAAAAGGGTGTCAAAACCTTTCAATGTGGAAAAGTCGATCTTTTGAATAAATGATGTTGGCATAACTGCCTGTTATAATTTCACAACAGAAAAACACACACTCCAATTTAAAAATGGGCAAAGGATTTGAATAGAAATTTCTTTACAGAAAATATACAGATGGCACATGAAAAGATGCTCAATAGTGCTAATCATTAAGAGAAATGCATTATTGCTTATACTCTCTCTACAACAAAATTAGAAATAAGGGCAAAATAGTTTCTGCTGGGTATTGAGTGGGTGGGGGAGAGAGGGAGGGGGTGGAGTGGGTGGTAAGGGAGGGGGTGGGGGCAGGGGGGAGAAATGAACCAAGCCTTGTATGCACATATGAATAATAAAAGAAAAAATGAAAAAAAAAAAAGAGAAATGCAAATCGAAGCTACCATGAGATACTAAGTCATGCCCAATAGGATGACTACCATCAAAACAAAACAATCAGAAAATATAAGTATTGGCCAAAATGAGGAGAAATTAGGAGCCTTGGGCACTACTGGTTGGAGTGTAAAATGATACAGCCACTATGGAAAATAGTAGAGAAGTTCCTCAAGAATTAAAAATGGAATTATCACATAAGCCAGTAATTTCACTGAGTAAATGTATGTTCAGAGAATAGAGAGCAAGACTGGAATTTGTAAGTTCATGTTCAAAGTATTGTTATTCACAATAGTCAAATGGTGGAAGCAATACCAATGTGTCTATTGATGAATAAATGTGCTATATGCATACAATACGAGGAAATTTCTTTTTTTTTTTTTTGGTTGGTTTTGTTGTTGTTTTTTTTGAGACAGGGTCTTGCTATGTAGCCCACACTGGCCTTGAATTGGAGTTCCTTCTGCCTCAGCTTCTGGAATGCTACTGCAATAAAAGGCGTAAATCTTAATCAGCCTTATAAAGGAAGAAAATTCTGACATATGTGACAATATGGCTAAACCTTGAAGACGTGCTAAGTGAAATCATCCAGGCACAAAAAGACAAATACTGTTTGATTCCACTTATATCTAGTATCTGGAACAATCAAACTTATAATAGAGACAGAAAGTAGAACAGTAGTCATCAAGAGCTGAGGGAAGGAGAGAATTGGGAGTTCTGTTTAATGAGTGCAAAATTTCAGTTTGGGAAGAAGAAAAAGCTCTGGAGATGGGTGGTAGTGGTGGATCCACAGCAATGTAAATGCACTTAGCACCATGTAACTACACACTTGGAAATGGCAAAAATTATAAAAGTTAACTGCAAATATGCAAATAACATACAAATGTGCAAATAATGCACATTTCAATTTAGGAGAAAATGAGATATTACAGAATTCTCTCTGGGAAAAAAATCACAAAATCAAAATGTCATTTGTTCCAAAATTTCCATGGCTAATTGATTCAAGATTTAGATATGCATGCATTTAGACAATTATCCATGGTAACTATGGAAATCAAGTTTTGCATTCCTGTCTAGAAGCAAAGTGGTCAGGCCTGAGAAAAGTTTTATAACAGTAGGCCAACAAATAAAAACCTGTTATTCAGCAACAAGGGTATGCTTTTCTTCCCCTCTCTATTCCACAAAGTGTTAAAAAGTCCTAGACCAGGAGCAGTTGCCCGATAAAATAAATAAGTAATTTGTAGCAGGTGGTTCTAATTGTGCCCATCAAACCTGTCACTCCATTGTGCAGAAGAGTGGAAAATCAATTAGCAAGTACAATCCTGGGTGCTAGAGAGTGACAGAAGTGTCTTAACTCAAACAGGAAATCAGTAATGGAAGAAAATGATTACCAAGGCTGCTAGTGGACACTCCTGGGTCTGAGGACACTGTCTATCTACTATCAGCATTCTCAGACATTTGAAAACAAATTGCCACTCAAACAGCAGTTTCTTCCCTGAGGAGGTCTGAATGAATGAAAATCAAGAGTCTGGACCCTGCCTTTCCTCAATTCCAGAGTCCTGTGGTGGAGCCACTACTTTTTGGCCATGGTCATGATTGTGAAGTGTCCCTGATACTAGCTGACTTGATTGAAGCCACCTTACCACTCATGTATAGTTCTGTAGGCTTGTTTGGTGACTGGGCAGTGTACTAGCACAAGGCAACCTCAGTAGCTGAAATGGGACTAAAGACAAATTGACCTATGTCACAGTCCTGCTTTAGAGATGGACCAAACATGAGTGTTGGCTGCTGAATGTAGTTTCTCAAAGAAAAAAATGAATGTGTTCATAACATCTCGTATACAGTTTGGGGAAATGAAACAGATTTTTTTTCCCTCACACATTTTCTAGCATTTGTATGAGGTCCCCAAAGTGTTAGGGAATGAAGCATTTAAATTCTAATAGGTTTCAGCCTTAGTTTGGGTCACTTTGGTACTATGAACAATCTGTAATGTTACTGTGAGCGTATCCAAGTATAGTGTTTTTCTACCTTCTTTGTGTCTATGTTCTTTTAGCTGCTGTGCGGCAGATGGTATTAGACAATCACAACACACCTTTTATTTCTTTTTTCAGCATGTTGGTATTTAATATGGTGCCTCTCACAAAATAGGCATTCAATAAATAATTTTCTAATGAACTCTCGACTATTAATTTTTTGCATGGTCAGATGATGTATGAAAGGTAATTAACACTGTGTCAGGTATGTGACAAGCACTCAATGACTATTAAACAAAAAAAAGAAAAGAAAAAATGAGACATGAAAAATAGATGAAACAATTAGAACTCTTTTCTTAAGCACAAAGCATAATTAAATTATAATCAACAAAGGAGCCGAGTTTCATTCGTCAGGTTGAGATGTCCCATGTTGACTCACTGTCTGGAGTCAACTCACTGTCTTGGAACCTTGAAGTGGCCTAGTAGGTGGGGGGAGATTAAAAACAAATTTACGTGTGCCATGGTTCTTTTTAGAGTCGACTGTGTATGAGTGTTGGCTGTTGAATATAGTTTGTCAAAGAAAAAGTGTAACGTGTTCACCTGCGGAAATGAATCAGATTTTTTCCCCAGGCACTTTCTACCATACCATTTGAAAGTATGTGGTAGCTATGCTTGGGAGGGAGAAAAGCACACCTAAAAACAATGCTGTGATGCACAAAGGTAGTGCCGTACTCCAATGAAGGACATGTAGTCTGCCAAATGCCATCAACTCATTTCCATTCCTCTGTGCAGGTGGGCACACACATTCCTGGGCATGTTTCCCTGGAGGAAAGATTGGGAAAGAAAGCAGGAAAGCGAGAGGATGAAAGGAAGAAATAAATACTTGGCTTTGAGTGTTGACTTCCAATGTGAAGAGAGCAGAGAAAGAATACAGAATCACTCTGCAAGTCAGACTTAGGTGCGAAGAGGGTCTAGAAAACACTAGAGCCCTACTTCAGGTGTCCTACTTCTTGACATTCAGTGGATTTTTTTTTTTTTTTTGAGACAGAGTCTCACTGTTGCCCAGGCTACTTTCAAACTCATGCTCAAGTGATCTTCCCACTTCAGTCTCCAAGCAGCTGAAACTATAGGTGTGTACTACCACACACAGCTTTTCAGTGGATATTTTAAAAAGCAATGGCCTAGGCACAAAGCAAGTGACTCACTCTGTAGGCATAGTTTCCCATGGTCCCACTGAAGCATTTTATCCTGCTTCTGTCCTAGGCTTGGTGGACTTGGCCTCCCGGCCCTTATTGTCCTTGATAGTGAAAAAAGGTCACCTTTGTAATGGTCCTTTTTTTTTTTTTTTAAGTTTTAGCAAGGATTTATTTTAGTATAACAGGATAAAGTATAGACAGGAGCGGGGGAGGGGAGGTGGGAGAAAAATTTCTTGTTCCCCACGCAGGAAATGGGAGCAAAGACTTCTGTAATGGTACTTTTATCCCCCTTTCCACATCTACCATGCTGTGGATTGTGTGGAGTATAAAAAGAACACAGTCTCTCTGTCAGCATCTGAGAAATGTCAATCTAAACAAAATAGACCCAAGAAGCAATGAACCTTCCATCCCATATAACTTTCATTCATCACATTAAAAAATTCCATTCAATAACGTATTTCTTTTCTATTACCCAGTTAGAAGATTAAAATCTAAACACAATGAATGTATCAGCAAAGCTAGATAATTAATGTATCTTCTTGGAAAGTAAAAGTCACCTTAAATTTTACTATTTGTCATCCAAAAATCAATTTAGGAATAACATCAGAAGATTTAAATTCATCTCAATAAATACATTACATAATTTAATACTCTATCACATGGTATACTTTAGATTATGACAAGTTCTGATTATAGTGAGATTTTTATCATGCCGAGGACCCTCAAGTCAAAGCACAGTCATATTTCTCTTAGAAAATTTTCATTTACCTGTCTGCGATGGTTATAAGTGTAGGAGGGCAATAGTAACCACTGGAAGCATGGTCAAATGTTCGAAAGGACTGTGTCAATTTTGTAACAAAAGCTGCCATGTCTCTCCCATCCCTTAAAAAAAGAAAAAGGGAATTAAGGACATAACCCAATTTAGTGAAATACCCAGAAATCTTTTTTGCACCTTCACATTGACTATTATTATAACTTTCTTCTCTGACTCACTTGAATTTTTATCTTGATATCACTTTGTATTTATTCTATTTGGTATTGCCATCAGCTACTGCCATATCTACATTTATTTAATTAGTTTTACCTTTAATTTTTTAATTAACTCAAAAACCTAAACACAAATGAAAATAAAGGGAAAAACACCTCAAAACAAGACAAAAGACCCAAACTGGATATGGTGATGCATGTCTGTAATCCCAGTTACTTGGGAGGTGGAGGCAGGAAGGTTGGAATTTTGAGGCCAGCTGGGTCAAAAGTTAATGAGACTCTATCTCAAAAGCAAAATTTTTTTTTCATTTTTCTTTTATTATTCATATGTGCATACAAGGCTTGGTTCATTTCTCCCCCCTGCCCCCACCCCTTCCCTTACCACCCACTCCACCCCCTCCCTCTCCCCCCCCTCAATACCCAGCAGAAACTATTTTGCCCTTATCTCTAATTTTGTTGTAGAGAGAGTATAAGCAATAACAGGAAGGAACAAGGGTTTTTGCTGTTTGAGATAAGGATAGCTATACAGGGCATTGACTCACATTGATTTCCTGTACGTGTGTGTTACCTTCTAGGTTAATTCTTTTTGATCTCACCTTTTCTCTAGTTCCTGGTCCCCTTTTCCTATTGGCCTCAGTTGCTTTAAGGTATCTGCTTTAGTTTCTCTGCATTAAGGGCAACAAATGCTAGCTAGTTCAAAAGCAAAATTAAAAAAAAAATAAAAGTACTGGGGTCCTGGCTCAAGTGGTTCAATTCCCAGTACAACAAAACAAAACAAAATGAAAGAAACAAAATCCTAAAACAAAAAAGAAAACGAAGGGGCACTCATTCCAGAGTTGCCCTTCTACCTCTCTTTAAACATACAGAATTTCATACAGAAGGCCTCTCCATTAGAGTAGAAATTTAGAGTTCTGGCGCTGGAGGAAGGATGTGTGAGTTGGAACCATGACTCCCCCACTATTCAGCTTTATTCATCAGCATTATATGCATTTCAAGAAATTTCCTTAATCTCTCCACATCTAGTTTTCTGATCCGCAAAGTTAGAATAGTAGTAATATTTTGGGGGTTCTCCTGAGAATCAAAAGAACATAATGAGGCAAGGATCTTTGAGTAAAGCTAGAGAACCTGTGTGAGACATGTCTCTAGATAATACTATCGGTTTTTCAACTTTCTTTTTTATTGTTTCATTTTATCTCACAGAGATTCATTGGGATTAGGGATCTAGAGTCACCAAGTAGTGGATCAGCTGGGCCTGGAACCCAGTTTGGGTGCAATGCAGGATGATCTTGGTTGGATAATAAAGCTTTCAAATAGAGAACGTTAAAAATACAGATAACTCATGTATGGCAGAGATTATTCCTAAATTAAGTGGCTGTCCTTTTAGAGAGGAAGAGAGCAAGTTTTGGCACCCAGACAAAAATGGCAAATGTATAGTTGTGTGGCTTAGCTCTGGAGGAAGGGAGGGTGGCTTGATTCTTTAAGTTCATTGTGGTACAAGAGACAAACATACACTGTATTTCAACTGAATTATTTTAGTTCTTTTTCTTCCAATATTATTAAATCACATCACTTATATCTATCTATTTTTTTAACCTATTTATCAGAGTTAAAATACTCTATTTTGTGCCATATCAATGCTAGACAGTTTTTGATCTGGCATAAAATGCTTTCTATAATACTTTTTTGAAAAGGTCTCAGTCTTGCAGTCAATGAAAGAAAACTTTGGTTTGGAAATCAGCAGTTTTAGTTCAAAACATCTCAGGAGTTGAGGTGAGGATCATAGTGCTCCTCCATGCAGTCATCCAGGGTCTCCTCCTAACTCCTCCCCTTGGCCTCTGCTCCCAAACCTCTCTGTGTGACTGCTAGCTCCAGACAGAGCCACCAAGAGCAGAGCATCACTGCAGCACAGGGAAGGGAGGTTTGACTGTGCTTGAAAGGACAGCTGGAGGAAGGCTGACAATTTGACTTTTCTGATAAGTATTGTTTATTCATTAGTAGTTTTTGGAGCATGGGCTATATAGCAGAACAAAATATTCCAAACACTGAATAGCCTCAAGAAGAGAAGGGCAAAAAGATGTGGCATAGCAGTAAGCAAAACAAGCAAAGCAAGACGTACATAATATAAGCCCTGGTCCCTGTAATGAAGGATGAGAACTGACTGCTTTGGTTAACCATTTGTACACTAGGTGCCATTTCAATTTTAAATGCATGGATGATCATGACAACATTGAAGCAATTGCTCACATTGTCCAATGTCAAAAAAGTGACTCAAAGGGAAAATAAATCACTTTTTTTTTGCTGTGAAGCAAATAGGCTGGTCTTGAACTCCCAATCCTTTGGCCTCAGCCTCCTGACTCTTTCATAAATTAATTTGGACAAGTTTAGGCTATTTAGAGAGTTGCATTAAGCAATCAGCTAAAAGAAGGGAACATTTAGAAACCATATTCATAGACTGATAAAAATAAAATTAATGGGAAAAATTTCCATTAAATCAGAGAACTGGCCTTGGATTCAGAATCTCTAAATACTAGTAATGCTACCAGAAAAGGGAAGCAGTAAACAAAAAGTGCAAAGACAGTATCAATTGTTTGTGCTGTGTAAGAAGTTAATTGCTCTTTCAACAAAAACAAAACATGCTGAGTTGCCTTGAAGGACACAGTAAGGAAGAGATTAGGTCAGGAGTTATAATTTTTGATAAAATGTCTAGTGCCATCTCAGCTGTGGCACACGTACTGTCCAGCTGGAGTATGGAGGGTACTCACTATTACACATGAGTAACGGATAAAGCATAGTTTCTGCAGAGATGCATCACTGTTTATTCGAAACATAAATAATTGGGTTAAAATAAAAAATAAAACAGAGTTGCTAAAAACCAGGCCTGGGAAAATTTTGAGATTACTGCATTAAAATTTCAGGAGAGACAGAGAGAAAATGAACATGAGTATATATGCTGAGAATATTGATAGGTTTTATGCAGCTTTATTGTCTGGTATTAAATGTATTCAAGAAATTTAAAGTGATGATTTTCTACCTTTTTAGCTTTAAATCTAAAGTGGTATTTTTAATTTAAAATATCTAAAATACTTCAATACTATACTAAAGGTGTTTTCACTGTTTCTCAAATAATAAATATATTATTATCTCCATGATTGCATTCTACTTCTTTTTTTAATTCTTTTTAAATTATTTTTCTCTTTATTCATATATTCATATGTGCATGCATTGTTTGGGCCATTTCTCCCTCATGCCCACCATCCCCTCCCTCTCCCCCCACCCTCCCTCGCTCCTGTTCTGCCTTTTTCTCCAATTTTGTTGAAGAGTAGACATAAGCAATTAATAAGAAAGACAAACTGGTTTTGCTAGTTGTAGCTAGTTTAGCTACACAGAGAGATTCCTAGCATTGCTTCCATGCACAAGTGTATTACAATCTGAATTGATTCATCCCTACTTGACCTCTTTACTACTTCCCGGCTACCTCTCCATATTGACTTCTGTCACTTTAAGGTAACTGTATTAGCTTCTCTGCAGTGGGGACATCAAACACTTTCAAGTTTTGGGTTTCCTACCTATCCCCATACCTCCCGTAAGTGCTCTCCCCTTAGCGTGTGACCCAAGTCCAACCACATTGCTGTGTTTGCCCTAGATATAAAGTCTGCTTATGAGGGAGAACATATGATTTTGGTCTTCTGAGCCTGGCTGACCTCGCTCAGAATTACGTCCTCCAGTTCCATCCACTTACTTGTGAATGATAACATTTCATTCTTCTTCATGGCTAAGTAAAACTCCATTGTGTGTAAGTACCACATTTTCTTAATCCATTCATCAGTAGTGGGGCATCTTGGCTGTTTCTGTAACTTGGCTAGTGTGAATAGCACTGCAATAAACATGGGTGTGCAGGTGCCTCTGGAGTAACCTGTGTCACATTCCTTTGGGTATATCCCTAGGAGTGGGATTGCTGGATCGTATGGCAGATCTATGTTTAGATTTTTTTTTTTATGATATCAAGATTTTTATTGCGCACATTTGTTTGCTATATGCTTTTTTTTAAATTATTCATATGTGCATACAAGCCTTGGGTCATTTCTCCCCCCTGCCCCCACCCCCTCCCTTACCACCCACTCCACCCCTCCTCTCCCCACCCCTCAATACCCAGCAGAAACTATTTTGCCCTTATTTCTAATTTTGTTGTAGAGAGAGTATAAGACATAATAGGAAGGAACAAGGGTTTTTGCTGGTTGAGATAAGGATAGCTATACAGGGAGTTGACTCACATTGATTTCCTGTGCATGTGTGCTACCTTCTAGGTTAATTCTTTTTGATCTCACCTTTTCTCTAGTTCCTGGTCCCCTTTTCCTATTGGCCTCAGTTGCTTTTAAGGTATCTGCTTTGGTTTCTCTGCGTTAAGGGCAACAAATGCTAACTAATTTTTTAGGTGTCTTACCTATCCTCACACCTCCATTGTGTGCTCTCGCTTTTATCATGTGCTCAAAGTCCAATCCCCTTGTTGTGTTTGCCCTTGATCTAATGTCCGCATATGAGGGAGAACATATGATTTTTGGTCTTTTGGGCCAGGTTAACCTCACTCAGAATGATGTTCTCCAATTCCATCCATTTACCAGTGAATGATAACATTTCGTTCTTCTTCATGGCTGCATAAAATTCCATTGTGTATAGATACCACATTTTCTTATCCATTCGTCAGTGTGGGGCATCTTGGCTGTTTCCATAACTTGGCTATTGTGAATAGTGCCAAATAAACATGGGTGTGCAGGTGCCTCTGGAGTAACCTTGTCACAGTCTTTTGGGTATATCCCCAAGAGTGGTATTGCTGGATCAAATGGTAGATCAATGTTTAGCTTTTTAAGTAGCCTCCAAATTTTTTTCCAGAGTGGTTG